GCTTATCCTTCATGTACACAATAGAATTTTGAAATGCTTGGCATCATCTTCAGCTCTTCAACTAACTAAATATTGACAATAAATTTTAATGACTTTTTAATTAATTTTGAGGAGAAAATTTGCTGTTCAACTTTTATGACAGCAACCTTTTGGCACATTAGATTATTAATTTTATTTCACCAAAATTGTGGTAGATTTCTTAAAATACGTGGTGGTTGTGGTAAAAGTGAAAAATTACCCAAAATTTGGTTTTTATATTTGATGCAGTACCAAATTTTACTAAAGAAATAAAGCTAATTGCTACAGGTCTGAAAATTCTTTAAAATTTATAACTAGTATAAGAAAAAATATATTTATGCATAAATTTATTTTATTTGCAGAATCCATAAATGTTTGTTTACACGTTTTTAGTTAAAGTTATTATGAAAGAGCACGCACTTTTGACGATACTATTGTGCTTATCGTAACTATACGTTAAAAAGTTTTGACTATTATTTTTTATGATTTAATTTTAATTATTTTTCATAAAAATATAGTTCGTTTTTTAATAAAAACCAAACCAAGTGTCAAATTTTGCACAAACATTTAGGGTGGTATTATCACTTGCGAAGCGAATGATTTTGGCGAAGCGAACGGTTTGGAGAAGCGAATTAAAAGGAAGAGAAGGTATTAAAAGTATTCGCGATGCAACGAACTTGCACAAGCTGGTAAAAGAGAACACTCTTAATGTATATTTAAGTTGCGTCCGCCAATCCATTCGCTTCGCCAAACCGTTCGCTTCGCCAAATTCATTCGCTTCGCAAGTGACAATACCGCCCTTAATCAAGTTTCATCCAAATTTCTCACGTTTTATTCTGTGATTTTAGAGAATTTTGAATATGCTATAAAACTGCCCAAATTAATTCTGGTTTAATAAAGTCAAGTCTGAAGTACCTACAAAATACCGTTGATTTTTGGCAATTTTTTATTTTTGTATGGAAGCAAATGAGTGACATCGTCAACAAAAAGGTGCACAAAATCAACAGTATTTTGTAGCCTCTGTAAATTTGCACTACAATTGAATTGATTGGCATCCCTAGTGTACATACATACATATGGTATATGGGGTGTGGATCCCTTTTCCCTAGCAGTAAACCTTTTATTGTGCGCAACAATGATGTTTTCAAATAAGGCAGATCGGAATACATATGCGCTCTCTGGGAAGACAATACCTGTAATTATCGTACCATGGGGAATGCCCTTAAGCGCATCAAAATGAATTTAATAAAGGAGCTTGAAAGTGTTGACCATTGTGGAAGCGCCAAACCAAATAACTGACACTGTGTCTTACCGAGAAAATAAGGATTGACTTTATGACCATTTCAGAAAAGTGAAATGGGCATATTGTCAATATCGTTCGCATTGTTTCCATTTGAAATTGGACATTGTGGCCATTTCAAACTGGCATAATGCCCATTCAAGTGGTCGTAATGTCAATTGACCTTATGGGGACGCGCCTTATGCCACCACACCGTCGATGTCGATACAAAAAATATCGGTGAATGTACTGAATACATCCATATGAATTTTTTCACTTCCTCCCCTCGCTTTGCTGTAATGGTCTTCAATTTATGATATTAACTCAACACTCTAGCGTGCCGCTTTTGGGCAACCACCCCACCAAACGTAGTAATATTCAAAATATGTACCTAATAGCATATGATACCACGATGCATGATGTGTTGTCTCATTTTATATTTTGCGTAGCTACTTTTTTAATTTGTTTAGTAAGAATAAGTTCTATTTTAGTTCAGTAGTCCCGTTTTTTATTTTTATTCCATATTGTTTAAAATATTTTTTTTGTTTTTTTGTTTTAAACACCCTTAGGCTTGGCGAATTGGAATACCCCAAACATACCAGCGATTAAGACGGAACCAAGAGGTAAGTATTCATTTATTCGAATTTTTAATGCATGCTTACACAAAGATGATTTACTTCCCTCACGCAGAAGCATCGCCGCAACATTTGTATCGGGCGCCCTCCGAGATGACTCCATCTCCGCAACCGTTATCGCCGTCGAATAACTACAATCTTCCAAATACGCCCTCACCCTACAGCATGGCTATGGGCGGCAATACACCACTGATGTCACCTAACCATCAGTACCTAGGAGGTGCGGGGGGAGGAGGAGGTGTCCCGACAAACGCAGATCCAAGTCCGACCCCACTGGAGGTGCACAATGAATATAACGCTTATGGAGGCGGCCAACAGCAGCAGCAGCATGCGCAACAACAGCCTCACCTTGCGCGACACTATGTGCGTCAGCATCAAATGCCATCACAGCATGAGTCACCACACCAACAACCGCATCTGCATCTTCAGCATCAACAGCAGCAGCAACAACAGCAACACCAGCAACACCATCAGCAGTTTCATGGCATGCTCTATGCAAACAATGATGTGGACAATTGGGAGGAGAAGTTTGCCAACGTGCTGGCGAATGTCAGCCACACCACTGCGGCAGCAATGAACAATCTCAACAGCAACAACAACAATCAGTTCAATATGCAAGGCTTCATGGCGGCTACAGCGGCAGGCGTAACAGGTGTGACGCAGCATGCGCAATGGAATTTTCCTCCCAATCATGTGGTGAGTGTGGCAATGCAAATGTTGGCTCAAGAAACAAAAACAACAACAAATGTATGAATTAATTTTAATAATTTTCGATCACTACAGGAAGCACAACAACTGCAGCAGCAGCAACAGCAACACCATCACCAGCAGCAATTACAGGCACAACAACAACAGCAGCAGCCTAATAACGACGCCACTATGGCGGACGTGATAAGAGGCGGCACCGGTGGCGATGTAAACAACGCTAATATCGATGAAGGAGGTGCCGAACAGGGTCCGACGATAAGCACACTGTTGAACTTTGATAGCGAGCAGCTGGTGCACATCAACTCAGAGGAACAACAAATGCTACGACTTACCTCGGATGAATTGCGGCTCTCAAATCTCTCCATATCGTCATAACACTGCTGAAGAGATGGAAGATTTGGCTAAAAGCTATACTTGTGTACTTTTTTATAAGCCGCAAAGCCATATCAAGGCAATGTGTTGCGAGAGGCAAGAGATATATTTTTTTAAATTCAGATGAATGAAAAAACCTATGTGTGTATGTGCATATGTACATATGTATGTATATACCATAACCCAGTGGGAATTAGGAGCACGTAATAATACCTTATTAGCAACTTACTCTTCACCTGGCAGTCATTACCATTTCCCTGCCGAACGTCCCTTACTTTTACAAAGGCATGGCCGCCTTATGTAAGTAGGAATTTAGAATGTACATTTGGTATCAGACATACTTCTGAGCCGCTTTACAAAGTAAGTTACTAGTAATGCAGAGCAGTCGCTCGGAGTAGTTCGGTGCTTGGAAATAACTTCGGCTGCACGTTATTTTGCAACTGACAACGTAATGTGTCGCCGGAGGTGTTCATTTTGTGCTTTACTAGTAGATTACGCTGGTCATGATGACAATTTTGGTACTAAAAACTGAAAGAAAACATGGCTTACCTCGTAAGGTGCTTACCTATTTTCCCAGTGGGAATTCAATCATGTGTATATTATACAAGCCAGCACCTTACACAAGCACTCATTTCCAAACAAAAAGAATCTTGAAAAAATTGAAATCGGAAGATTTGAATTATAAAAAAACGATTCTACTGAATTGTAATTTTATTGTAAAATTAAAATTCTTTGTTAGTTTTCATAACAATTTAGAAATTTTGCCTAAGCCTTTATTGCAATGTTGTAAATTATGTAAATGTTAGTGTCTTCTTAGTCTTTGATTTGCGCTTTAAGTTAGGTTTTTATTAAATTTTAATTCGAAAATAAAATATTGAATTTTTATTGTTGGTGGCCTACTTTTTCCTAGTGGGTTCACCTTAAATTTATCTTTGAAGCAATGCTGCTTCGCTGGAGTTACATTAGTTGGCCATGTTGAAAAATTCCTCAAGTAGATTCTCGTTTTCATTTCACTCCACCCCTCGCTAATAAACATGAATAGAAACTAGAAAAAATTCCCGGAGAAATTCTCAAGCGTTCGTTTTCCTTTATATGATGTAACCTAGTCTGCGAAGTCGTTGGAATTTTGATGGCACTACATTTAAGTTGCTATAATTTATCTTGCAATCATCTGTTGGATTCGGCGTTACATAATCTTCTTCCAATTCGCAAAGTCGTTAAATATAAAAATGTACAATCTTGTTGCGAAATGTACCATTTTTGGAACATTTGTTTCAGTTTGGTACACTGCACTATGGGAAATTTTACCCTATTTTGTGGCCAAAATTCTAAAAGTTGAGATATCAATTTAAAACTTGGGCCAGTAGTAGGACTGGAAGTAGTGGCCTTGCCGCGCAAAAATTAACCCGTAATGGTCACACCTCAAAAAAATAGCGTAATGGTCACACGGGGTCCAGTGGACCCCAACCCAATAAACAGATGCCTCCTACGTTCTATTTTAAATATCGACTCGAATCCTCCACTGACCTTAAGTTTAAAACTTTCTTTTTGTTATCTGACAGGTTTTTTTTCAAGTTTTAAATTATAACACCGTGAATTATTTCATAAAACTCATCAAGTAGTTACCTAAGAAAAATTATAATTTCTTTAATATCGCATAAAATCGCAGTATAAGATTATGGGGAAATAAGAGATCAGGGACTATTCTACAGATTTATGATGAGTTTTTTTAAATGTTTTTAAACATTTTTTAAAACACTAAATAAACTAGTTTTTTAATTGTACAATTTCACTTTAAAGTCACTTAAATGCGGACGTTTCTTTGGCACAACATTTAAACTATAATACAAGTTTTAATTGGTAAATATTTTGCTAACCGTCACTCCTTCTTTCCACTTTTCACTTTCAAAACGCAGCAAAGAGATTACGAGATATACGCATTTTAAAGTGGCACAAAATCAAGCTACACCTTTTTCGTTTACAGAAAATTTCGAAACTATCTGTTTGAGGGTTACCAAATCAACGGTAAGTCAATTTATCGAAAAACAGAGTATACAGTGTTTTACTCTGAAGTATTCTCTGTAAGATAAGACAAAAAAAAAAAATAATTTCAAGCAAGTCAAGAAATTGACTTTTGGCCACAAAATAGACTGAAATTTCCTATAGTGCACCGGTACATAACTTTCAGATTAAGTAAATTTTTGAAGCCTAATAAAATTAGTACCGTGTTACTACTACAAAAAAAAAAACAAGTAGGAGCAGCGCTGTCTTCGGCTATGCCGAATTTATATTTATATTCACAGCACACATAGATAGAGGAGTTACGTATATAAGAAATCGTATTGGATTTACCTTCCTACATAAAGGAGATATATCGCAAAAAATGGTATAGGAACAATCAGTGGTATAAGAGATAAAGCTTATACAGCATAGATTCTGACAATTTTCTCAGTAGACTTTGTATTATTATTTATACAATAGCTTAAGAAATGATCGATTTTAGCTGTCCAAATAAATTAGTTTTACATTAAAATCCCATATCTGAACAATCAGTTGTATGGGGGCAATATATAGGTTATCAATTATCTGTTGATAATGAGTGAAAATAGTGCGAAACGTCATGTTTCTAGCTGCATATATGGAGAAGTTATAACAAAGAATCTCATATCTGAACAATCAGTTGTATGGGAGGTATATGTAAAAGTGGCCCGATCTTTCTTATTTTCACTGTAAATATTCTGTTAATAACGAGTGAAAACGGAGAGAATTTTCATCTTCCTAGCTGCATAAATGGAGAAGTTATGGCAAAAATCTCATATCGGAACAATCAGTTTCATCAAAATCTCATATTACTAGCTACCTAAATGGAGGAGTTATAACGAAAAGTCTTATATCTGAACAATCAGTAGTATGAGAGCTATAGGTTATAGTGACCCGATCTTTGTAATTTTCACTGTAAATATTCTGCTGATAATGGGTGGAAGTATTGCAAAATTTCATGTTCTTAGCTGCATAAATGAGGGAGTTTTAACGAAAAATCGCATATCTGAACAATCAGTTGTATGGGAGCTATATGTTATAGTGGTCCGATTCTTCCGGTTCCGACAAATAATTAATACATTATAAAAATACACCCACCTACCAAATTTTATCTGGATATCTCGAAAACTGAGACTAGATTGCATACAAACAGACGGACAGACAGACAGACGGACATGGCTAAATCGACTCAGATCGCCGTTCTGATCATTTAACTATACATTTTAATGGGTCTATCTCTTCTTATTCTGGTACTTACAAACATCGGACCAAAGTTAGAATACCATTTCATGCTCATGAAAGGTATAAATATAGCTTTAATGGTATTATATTCTCATTTTGAAAATTCCACTATCTGCAATAACATTTTGTTAAAAGAGAAAAATCCTCTATCTACACAATTTGCTGGAAATTTGTTTTTATTAACATTTTTTGTGGCAGGTAAGTTACATGTGCCTATGTATGTATGTTTGTATATGTTACCGGCAATCTTACACTCTGGGAAATAATGCATAGTAAAAATTAATACTTTATATTTGATTATCGTTTAAAAATGTTCGTATTTAAAAATAATATTTTCATACAAAATTTATTACGCTCGTATTTGACTGTTCACATCTGAGTATGTATATGTATGGTTAGTTTCAGAAGGCGCAGAAGTTGAGCCCAACCGTTGCTAAAAAAATCAGTGATCGTAATGCGTCTTCTGAACGGCTTGATACATTAGCTGTCAAATTCAAAACACACAACATGTTGTCTGAAATGATCAGAATAATATTACGATCATCTAACACGCAGCTGTTCAGTTGATCAGAAGTACAAAGCAACGCGTTCAGAAGGTGCAATCGCGGTGACAACACACACATCCGTACATAGTACAAATCGCGTGCTGTGGTGTTGAAGGATATTCAACATTTGAAAGCAAATTTATATGCCTGGGTGTAGTTGAGTGCGCAAAGATTCTTGCCACAAGTTGTTGATATCCGGAGATGGTCCGGTTCGAATTCCACTGCAGGCAACATGCAAACAAATTTTTTTTTTTAGTTTTTGTCTTGATTATTCACTTCACGGATGCTTTTTCAGTACGAACGCGGTAATTTTAATATGCGCGTAATTGAATTGAATATTTACCAATATACAGTACTTTCGTTGACGTTTATAGTAAGATCAATTACGTTTCCATTTGATTTTAATATTTTTTTCCCTCAGTGTAGGTCAATTGGTTTTGCCCAGGCTAAACTAGTTCTACCTAATTCGATATATCTGTCTAACCGAAAACAAATTTGATACAACAAAAAAATCTTCCATATCCCGTCAAACATAGAGTCATTAAACTCCATTACTCCATTCTATCTCAAGGGTCACCAAGAGTGAAGAACTGCTATTATTATTCCTATTGCCAAACTAAATATAAACAATTCATTAGTTTCCTCCCCTGCATATCTAAAGTTTTACCCTAGAAAAATGGTGAGAGGATGTACAATGTTGTTAAGTCTTTCCTTTACAACCGGAAGTTCGCTGTTCGTGCCAATAACTGTTATTCAAAAACTGTTCCGCTCTTTAGTGGTGTCCCACATGGATCACCACTTTCGGTTATTTTATGCAATATAGCCTTTGGGAAAGTTAGCTCCATTATATTTTTTCTAAGACTAAGGACTTGCCGCAATTGGTCCAAATCTTCAGGAGCTAAGATTTCGGTTTTTTTACATATGCAGAGAATACAAATGTATACATCCAACTCTCTCCGTGTATGACACCCCTATCCACTATACTGACACATTGAAAATATTGGGAATAATTTTTACAATAAACCTACTTTTCACCTAACCTAACCTAACCTATCATCCACGTATTCTTTAGTTCATATAACTACACTGGTAAATGTATTAAGGGCTTTTATATTAGAAAAAATGGACTTTGGACTCGTAATTTACGGACACTGCACAAAAAGCATTTTAAATTGC